ATCTAATGTTCAAATTACAGGGTTTTTCTTCTTTCTTTTTTCTTTTTCCTTTGTTGATATTTAGCAACAAAAATTTGAATCAATGATCCAAGGCACTTCGGACTGATAATGGCTGATCTAGGAGGGTATGGTTTCGGGATATAAGGTCGTGGTTGAAAAATAAAACAACAACACTAATGTCATCGTGAAAATGACGCCGAACCTTCTTGTCGATCTTTCGAAGATCTGAATACCGCATCTCTCGTTTCCTAGCTGCTTCTTGAAGGGCTGCCTTCACAAGCCTTTTTGCACTTCCCTGCATCAAGCCAATGGCAAAGATGACCCATCAAATGTGTTTCCGAAAATCGTTGTAAACAGTTAAAGTTTTAAAAGATAGCTCGAACCAAACACATCGCACGGTAAGTATCCGAGCCGGTTTAACATTAAAGTAATTGGTAGAATATTAAAGCCCAGATAGGTAGTCACCATAATTTGAAACTTTTTCTCTATGATGACTAAAGAATAGAAGGTGGAGGGAAACTTACTGCACGAGGAAGATTGTGGACAATATCCACAGCCTTTTCATTGGTTAGGTGTTCCCAAAGTCCATCGGATGCAAAAATAAGAAAAGAATCGTTTTGATGAAGAGGGTGAGCAAGAATCGTGGGTACTGCAGTCATTATAGGCATATTCATCGGTTCAGGAAGTCTAAATTTAGCATTGATTCTGTCAGTATTATACCGAGAATGTTTCATATAGACATCCCCAATGGACCTAGAAACCTGCATGAGATATTATCACAAACTTTGAACATATGATCACTATTCACATTGATACAAATGAACTAAAAATGAGAAAAGAAAAAAAAAAAATCACTTTTGTAGAAAACGGCCAGTTAAGAGATTGAGCTAAAAGAAACAAACGGCAGAGAACATCAAAGTGATCTGATAAAGAACGGCATGCAAGAGTGTGGTTGATCTGATAAAGAAAACAGCAACATTTTTATACTAAGGATCTATATTACCCTCAAACATGCACGATAGTTACAAACGAATAGATCTCATCCCAGCTTAAACGTAAAGAAAACCTTGACTGCTTGAAAGGTGTGGTGTTTCTAATTTTATACTAAAGCACTGGTCCAGAACCAAGCTTCTAAAATCAAAGTCAACCACGCACATATTCAGTTCAGTTCAGGTCAGTTGCCTCAGATACACTAAAATGATAAAAACTAGCAGGATGAAAGCTCTGGTGGTACCGGGAAATACCCGGAATTCTGAAATATGAACACCGTACACTGAGTATCGTTCCCCCCACACTCTCAATGTAAAAGCTCAAAAAACTTAGTGGGGGAAAAGGTTACAACATCTCCACCCCTTTATGATAACATAATCCGAAACTTAAATCATCTTATACAAGCGATCCTATCAACACGAAGACAGTTCCTAAAGTTGTAAACAGGATATACCTAAAAACTACAATTTATAATAAGAGAGTGAAAACATGAAAAACAATTGAATAGGAGGAAGTCAACAAGATACGAGATGGTCTAAACTGACACAAAACAGTAATTTTTACCTGTATAATGCCTTTCACTCTCCAAACTCCGCGCCTTTGAACCACAATTTGAGGATCGTTTGGATGCATATCTCTTAATTCATGCCTTATATCCTCAAGATTGGCATTATGCTCCGTTGATAACTGAATGGCAGCAATCTCTCCAGTGTTGCCAACTTTCCTCCCTAACACAGCACGAGAATCTCCAAGACTCGCCACGTAGAGTGTCTGCTCATGTATCACCCCTACTAGACAGCACGTCCCAACTGTTGCTATCTCGGGTCGAGTACTCCACAACTCTGACACGACAGTTGTAAACCCTTCCTCTGTTCGACGAAATGCCTCCAGGATGGTTTCACGAGTCACAACTCCTTGTTCTTCATCTGCAATTGTTGCATAAAAAATTCAAGAATGTCAACCTAGCCTGTTTATTTAGAAAAGTTGAACATTCAGGAACATGTTTCAGATTTTTCAAGTTCAGCATTTTTTCCTTTTCGATATTGAAAAAGACAATACAAAGTCATGTGTAATCAAAGAACACACAACGAATAGTGTTTATTGGAAATTTTGCATAATTTTTTCTAGACTACATACTCAAAACATCGAGCGAAGTTATAGTATCATCAGCCGTCATAGGAATCCTGTGTCTACAGTATTCAATTTCAAACAAAACCCAACCAAAAATTGCATTGTATTTAGCTAGCTCTATCTTCCTCAGCAGCATAAGCTATAATTTACTCGAAACTCGAGAACACCAATCAAGCGCAAACAGTAATCCATTTCCAAGGGGAAAATGAAAAAAGAAAAATTAGCAATCCAAAAAAGAAAGAAAAAGACAATGGATCTAAGGATCAGTAAGAGCAGTGATAATGAGTTAGAAATACGGCACAAAGTAAAAAGCTCACATCCGAGTCAACAGATAAACCCGAGCCGTTGAAAACTAGAGGAGAAGAGGAAGAATCGTCATCATCATAACTCATAAGTAAATACAGTACACAAGAGTTACAGAAAAGAAGGGGAGTGGAAAATGACGAACCCCGAAAACGCCTAAACAAGTTGTTGCAGACATATCGAGCGGCGTCGGGGCCGCCGTGGCCATCGTAGATTCCGACGAAGGTACCAAAAGGACCAGATTCAATCTGGCTCTGGTCCTCAAGCACCTGGTTGGCCTGAACGACGGCCATGGAAAAATCACCGGAAGCATACTTGCCATAATCATAAAACCAGAGTAAGCTATCCTTAGAATCTTTGCCACCGCAATTGGTTCCAATGACTCCAACAGAGCTCAAATTTTCACCACCACGCCCGAATGGCTTCCAACAAAGAGAGAGCAGATTCATCAATCCCCGGAGCATCCCACATCTCTCAGAAATGAAAACCCCCAATTCAGAACCCTAGAACCTTGTAGTTGAGGGGCAAATGGAACCCTAGGAACTAGAAAAGAGAAAGATGAAGCGTGAAATTTGGGAGATTAAGGAGCAGAGTTGAAGATTTGTGTTCGGTAGTAGAGGAACAGAGAAGGTCTTCGCCTCATTCTCTTGTGGGGAGGGGAATCCCTCTGTTGCCTCGGTTATTGTCAATGTCCTTCTCTCTCCTCCCTCTCTCTCTCTCTCTCTCTTATTTTTTTAATTTTTATTGTTGGAGCCAACCTTAACAATTTCCGCTAGAGGTTGTTTAATATTTTAATCATATTTTAGAATAAATTAAACATATAATTAAGTTTATAATTACACTAATTAAACATAGTTTCTTAGATAATTCGAATAATTAAAAAACATAATTATAAATTACTTTTTCTTTCTGTCGATTTTGCGCGTTTTGGGCTTCCTTTCCTTTCCTTTCCTTTCATTTCCTTTCCCCTTCTCTTGCTTTTCAAAATACATCTCGAAGTCAGCCGCGTTTTCTTCCTTTCTCTCTCTAAAATCGCGTCACGTTACACGTTTTCTCTTCCTGGGCTGGGCCTTCTATGTTGTCTTTGGGCTTGACCCATCCCCTTCGGCCCAATACTTTGAAACGTGGGCCCGCATAATATAAATTCTTCGGTGGACAAGACATAAAATGGTCGAGTAACCTAATGTTTTGTCATATTGTTTGGAACAATTTTTATATATTATAAAAATGTATAGCAAAGTAAGAACGTGAGCAATTGATAAAGGTGAATCATTTTTCAAATGAGATTATATAATATTAAAATGATTAGTTAAATTAAGGTGGTATGCGTATGGGCGTACGTATGCATGTGGCTGCTTCACGTGGCTGCCCCATTGGCGCCCACCTTTGGATTGTCGTTTTTCTTTTTTCTAGAATTAATACGGAAAATAGGGGGGGTTTTTTTATATTATTATTATATGTTTTTTGTTTGTAGATTATTAAAGTAATCGAATATCATTCTCGTCTCTCATTTTATAATCTACTTTATTTAAATATTATTTTTCATAGTCATCTTCCATTAACTCTTTCAATTTAATGACATTTATTGAGCTTTGCATTTTCAACTAATGTGTTCATTGTATCTTAAAATCGCCTTGAAAACGAGTTAATTCATTTAATAATAAAAATTGAGCAATTATAGTTTTTTCTTTACCAATTATATGTTCATTGTATCTCCTTGGAGTTCAATAATTATGCTTCTTATATTTTCTGTCGCTTAAAATTATTATTTAAAATACTGTCATTATTAATTGACTAAAAAAAAATAATTAATAAATTGACCTATTAATTTTTATTAATTTTGTGTCTAATATTTATGTATTTTCATAAATTTATTATATAATAGTGGAGAATAAAAGCAAGGCGTGAAGTAACCAATAATATGGATGTGAGTTGGGCCTCTTCTTAACCATCCAATCATTTTATTTGGGCTAAATATTTTTTTTCAAAAAGCATTTGGGCTAACTTTACAGTTTTGTCATTTATATATCTCAAATATTCTCACCTAATTAAAAACATTATTTAAGGTGATTAGTACGATAATCTCCTTGTCATATACGACTTCCATACTATGTTCATATTTTATGTTTTTTTCAGTAGTGGTCCCCACGTAGAATATTAACTTTTTTTATATATATATATATATATTTGTTGTCACACTTGTTTTAATTTTATTGCTTTAACCAAAGTGAAAATCCTTCAATTATATTTTTAGTTATATTTTGTCCTTTTCGAGTATAAAATTTATAAATTATCAACCAATTTCAAACATAATTCATATTTTCGACCAAAAAGTCATAATCAAATTTCATATTCCCTACGGTTGAACTCTAAATTTTTATTTTTTTTCTTGATTGTTCAAATCCCAAAAAGGTATGAGAAAATGGGTTATGCCACCAACCCTAAACCTCATGTCTCTACCAACAAACATACTAGAAGTTGGTGTGTATTTGAAACAACTCCAACTTAGATTGTTAAAACTAATTTGGAATAAGATATAATATGGTAAGAGAAGAGAATAGAATAGAGACACGACCAAACAAGGGGCTGTAGTACCATTGTGTTTGGTCATTGATACCTCTAAAACAACTTTTTGTGTAGCCAAGATATTAGAACTAACTTGTGTCCACCATTCTCCCCTTCTTGCCTACACTCCCACTTCCTTGAACAGATTACATTTGTTTATGTCATGTCACAAATCCCAAAAATCGTTCTTTTTTTTTTTTTTTTTTTTTTTTTTTTTTTTTTTTTGCCCAAAATCAATCATTCATTCAAAATATTATCGAGATTTAATTTCGTTTTAAAAAAATAAAATGAACAAAACCCATTCATTCCTGGCTAGACACGTCAAAAGCTGCTTGCAGATCCCGATGCGTCTTCTCCATTAATGCCTTGAAAATGGCAGAAACATGCGTACCGTTACCACCGTTACTACTGCTACTGCTCCAGCTACAATTTTCAGTTTCACTTCCACTGAACCTCCCGACCCTAACGCGGCCCTCCGAATACGCCTTGCAAGCTGCCAGAATCCCCTTCCCTCGCTGCCTGAAGTAATCTCTTACAAATTCCTCGAAATTCTTCGGCGGATTCTGTATCAATCGCATCGTCATCTTGCAGCAGAATAGGTACGCTTCCTTGTTGTACGCGTCCGAGTAAATCTCCGCCTCCGCTGCCTCGTCCAGTTCCGGTTCGTTGAAGTATGGCCTCTCGTTCAGCACCAGCGCTTGAATCGATATCAGAATCTGAAGCACTGTTGAAATCGCCGGATTCCAGCGCTCTTCCTTTTTTCCGTCCCAGGTATTGATCAAACTCAAACACACATAGCCGTCTTCGTACAGGTTAGGGTTCAATCGCAGTCCGTAGGAGTGGTAGTACACAATCGGAGGACTGATCGGATAATCGGAACTGAACGCCAGGTCGAAGAAGAACAATCCGTCGTGATACGGAGTTCCAGCCGGACCGACAATCACGGCTCGTAGAAGATCTATTCTCTCTTCGTAAGCGCGAACGAAAATCGATTCCGGAAGATTCCTCTCCAGAATCTTCCACTCTCGCATGATCTTCTTCGAGACATCCGATCCAATGCAGTTGGGGAACAAGTTCGAGTGAGCGTAATGGTGATCGGAGAAATCCGTGACAATATCAAATCGTTTGAACGGCGGCGATCTCTCAGGTTCGTGGGGAGTGGGCGGTTGTTTGTCTTCGGCGTGGTGGGAATAGCAGAGAGCGGAAGCCATTTTTTGTCAGGTGAAGAGAATGGTTCGAAACGACGGAGGGGATGGGTCGTTTTAAGAGGGCGACGCGGAAACAAATGGATTTGGCGGTGTGTGGAAACGGAGTCAGCTTTGTGTTACATCCAATGGCTATTTATGGGGTAAAGGAATCACGGGGTGATTGGGATTTTTATTAATAAAAAGGGGGAATATAAAAAATAGCAGAAATATGGTATGCCTTTTTTTTACTCTTCTTTTGAAATTACTTTTTATTTTTGAAGCTGTCACGTGCACCTTTCAAACATCTTATTCCATTTGTTCTTATAATCTTTAAATGTTGTTTTAAAAAATAGTTTTATAATTTGTTCATGCCGACATTTTTTTAAAATACTCAATTAGAAAATAAAATATTTAGTATAATTCAATCTGATCCGCTGGTTTGCATAGGCAATTAAATTGGAAGGGCCCTTTTCTGAGTATGTTAAACACTGGGGGCCTCTCCGAGAAGACACGTCGCAATTCTTTTAATTGCAACCGTACCCTTTCCAGCGCACCTAAAGCCAACTGCATCTCTTTGCTTGCGTACCCAAATCTGTTCGCTTCGCACCATCCATCCATGGGCTTAGTTTCATTTAATATAATCTCCCTTTTCTTTTACATTATTTAATTCCCCTCAACTTTCCTCCCCTCTCTACGCATTTTTAAATCATTTATTTCCTGTTTAAATTATATATTTAGCCTATATAATTTAATGGATTCTTGATTTTTTTTATTTTCTTTTTTTCTTTTTGTTGGCAAGATTCCTAAATTATTGGACCATCTTTGGCAAACTTATTGGACATAGAAATTTATATTATATCAAACACACAACCCTAATTTATATTTTTTAAAATTTTAAGATGCTTTAGGACCTTTTATTCATAAAGCCCAAATTACTCCTCCAACGAACAGAATATATATCTTAATTACTCGTCAAACAGGATGATATGTATCTTAATTACTCGAACAAGATGGGAAATGGGTGATGAATCCACTGCGCAATACGCACGCCCTGTCTCTCTCTATTCCTTGTGGTACCAAGCATATATCCCTAAATTATACACCAAATAGGTTGCCACCAACGGCATGGGATTTAATGCAACGGGATATTCACATAATGGATGTACCAAATAATTGACCATTCTTAACTGGATTCCAGCTGTAGCAGGGTAGTTAGTTATACATGAGAATTGTTGAGTTCTGACCATTATTGATTTTCTTTTATAATTTTGAATATCCTTAAAAAGATTTGCACATTTTAACTATTCCGAAACATCTTCTAAACTCCTATTTTGAATATCCTTAAAAAAAGTGTTTAAACATCTAGCTAGCACACACATTTTAAAAACTTTAAGAAGAGCTCGAAAGAAAACGTTTAAAGAAGACAATATCTACTAAACTCCTATTTGAAACAAACAAAGAGGCTTCTGACCCACTAGGATTAAATTACAGATGTAAATGAAAGTAGGGAGGAATCTACTGACCGTTGAGGAAACTACATGTTCTTGGAGGTCCGACCAGCTATGAATTCCTGCATTTTCTGAAATTGTTCTTTGGTCATTCCATTGTAATACTCATGAGCTCTCTCCTGCATCAACAAAACAATCAGCCAGTTGCAAAAAGTGCTTCAAATTTATGCTGAGTTCATGATTGAACATTGACCTTTCAAGATGGACAGCTAATCCACACTCAAATGTTAGTACCAATTTGGAGATAAACTTAAGAGTTTTAGAAGATGTCAGAATGAGAATTTCAAGGTTCAATAATCAACAGCTTCGGTAAGGCAATTACCTTTTCCAGAGCAAGAGCTTGGCCAAGATCCAGCTTCAGGCCATCGTTAATGGCCGACTTGTTGTTTAAAATGGCCTCTGCAACCTCTCTAGATTTCTTCAACAATTCAACTCCTTCAACCACCTGATTTACCAAACCCCTCTACTCTGCTTCCTTTGCAGTTAGAGGCATCGCCGTTAGGGATGCTTCACTACCTTTGTTTACTCCGATTGTTTGTGGAAGTTTCTGAGATAACCCTCATGAAGGGAATATCCCAAATCTGCACAAACATTTCCAGAAATTGGTAATTTCAATAGAACAGTACTGCCAGTGGATTTCAGAAAATTACATCGTCTTTGCCCTAATCCTAGCTACTATAACCAGCAAGAATCGCTCGAGCGCACAAAACAAGAGTGAACTAAGTAAAATGACAAACCTAGCATGAGTATCGACGAACTTAGCTCCTTTCGCAGCGATGAGTATGTCACAGGCCAACGCGATCTCAAACGCGGCGGTGATGGCGAAGCCTGCAATCAATCGCTCCGATGATCGGCTTCCGGCAACGTTCCATATGCACGACCGGATTGTATTCAACATCCTTCACATCTCCCTTAAACACGAGGAAAACGCTCGTCCTGATCCAGAGAGCACGATGACCCGAACGGACTCGTCGCTGTCCAAGCTCTTAAACGCCTGAGCCAAATCCTTCATCATCGGCCTCGTTAACGAATTCAGAGACCTCGGACGGTTGATAGTAAGGTACGCGATCGCATTTGGTTCTCGGTTTACGAGGATGAGATTTTCCCGCGAAGAACTATCCATTACGGCCAAGAAATTGGAAACGAGCAAACGGAGATTGAATTAAAAAGTGGTGTGTGGCATGGAACTGGATGATTCTTAGACGATTGCGTGTTGGGAAACGAGCAAATCTTGAGAAACGATCAAATCTCATCGTTGACGTTAACCTCCATCGGCGCAATGGCAAAGGTGCAACAGCAACAGACAACACAGAAATCAACTTGAAATTGTGTTTCTTCTTTTATCGAGTCCTTCAAACTTCGGATTTTTCTATTTTGTTGGGAGAAATTTACGTATAATTCTCTATCATATCTTAATTCATTGTCCACTCAAATCAAATTAGTCTAATAGATTAGATATGAATACGATTGGGATGGCACTTGGGCTCGCTCTAATATGATTGGGCATCCTTTTATTATTGGGCTTGGATTTGGGCTTTCTATTTCCATGGACGCCTCTTTTCTCTGTACACGTCTCAGCAAGTAACTCGCGGTCGCCGAGAAGGAACTGAGGGTTTGCTGGTGTTTGCTCCTTGCCGTCGCTGATTTGTTCCGATTCTCAGAAGAGACGTGACAAGTTCTATCGTCTTTACAAATCACCACAATTACTGTCACGCCGTTGGTTCCAGAGCACAGCGCTGAACAATCAGTGACTGACTTTTAACAGAAAATGGAAGTTGGAGACGATGGAGTCGAGATGCTGGTGGATTCTAAGGACATGCAGCAACAGAGCAAGGCTCTCGACAAGCTCACTGATCGCGTTGAAGACCGTCAACTCGATTCCACTCGTGTTCAAGAGGTATTTGCTTCTACCTTTTTGCTTAGAATAGGAAGGAATTGAATTGACTAGCAATTTAGCTAACCGAATGATTGAATTTGGGAGACTTTGTTTAGGGAGACTTTGTTTTTCTTCCTACATTTTAATTTTTGCATATATATTGTCATTTTGTTCTATCAGTTCCTTTTAATTTACGCCGTTTCGATGCTCGTGAAAAATTAATTGCGTGTGTTCTTGATTGGTTATGATACTTTTTTTGGTTACTAAGCGACTTGGAATTGTTGGCAAATAATGAGTTCCTTCACATCATTGGGAAATACACATAGTAGTCGCCCATTCAGAAAGGAAAAATGGGATTTATCGAATGAGTATTTGTAAAATTGTTTATTGATATTGGATTTGATGATTGCAATGAATTGTTTCTTGTTTTTATTTAAGTGAAGTAGTAGTTGTTGTCTTTGCTTATTTCAGAGAGAAAGAGCTAGCAGCTGTCAAGATAAATGCAGCTGAGGTTGACATAATCGCGAGCGAAGTTGAGGTTAAATTAACATTTTTTGCCATGTTTCTCATGTTCAATGTAGATAACAGCTTATCTGATCCATCCCCGGATCTGTTGTTGTAATTGTTTACAGTTGGACAAGAAGATTGTTGAGAGAACCTTGCGAGGAGCACGAAGGCGACGCGGTTGCTGATGTACGCCATTTACTGCGCTGACCTCTGTATTCGTCACTCCTTCAAGGTTTACGGGGTAAACTTTTCTAGAATCATCATAGAACCATAGGATTTGTGGCGGAAATGCACTTGTGTGCTTCATTTGTGCTTCATTTTTTCTCTCTCTTTTTTGATAACTCTGCAATCCTTTAACGTGATTTCTAATCCTCTGCCTTTAAGCCATTTGGCGAACTGGAAGTTGTTGTGGGATAAGGACTCAATATGTTCACGGGTTTGGTTCGCCATTGCGCCCATTAATGATTCCTTTAAAGATGAGAAGTTTAATTATGGAAACCAAACAGAAGAGTCCAAAACGAAGAGGAGGAGGATGGCCGACAAGGCTGTTTCCACCACAAATACAAATACAAATACAATACAATACAATGAGAGAGAGAAGGAAGGAAGCAGTCCAAGGCATTTACGTTTCACAATTTAAAACTCTCTAAAGAAGAGAAGAGAAAAGAAAAGAAAAGAAAAGAATTGTGGCAGTTTGTGTTTTCAATCTTTGTACAACTTTTTGTTTAGTGGTCTGGAACTCATTTACACCAAGTGGGTGACATTTTAACATATTCCCAATCAAAACAACACTACCTACCCGACAACAAAAACTCTCTTCCTCCCAAAAAAAAAAAAAAAAAAAAAATGTTTTTTTTCTTTTATATATAAAATTATTATTATGATACTTTACTTTATAAAAGAAGGGGAAGAAAAAGAGACACTGCACTCTGAGAAGTCTTTTTGGTTTCTCCAATGGCAAACCATACATTACCATAATGGGAGGGGAAGTCCTTTAAACTATCAACCACATAGAACTTTTTTAAGGCTCTTTTGGGGTTTTATGTTTCCTTTTGAGGGTTATTATCTCCACCAAAACGAGCTGCCTGTAATTGACTTGCAAACTTCCTCTGCACCTCTCTCAACCTTTCTATCAGACCCTGGAATGATGGCCTGTTTGCAGGTTCGCTGTTGTTCACACATAACAAACAAACGCCAAACTGCGTGTGAACTCGTTTGATAATCATTTTGTTTTTTTTTTCATCGAAAAACAACTTAGTTTAGTAATAATTCATATAACGCCAGTGAATTAAGAAACCATAAGGGAGTAAGTAAAGAAACGATAAAAAAAAAAAGAAAAAACAAACTTGTGTGTACCTGTGCCAGCAGCTTTCAATTATAGAAGCCCATAGAGGATCCACGTCTTTGGGGATTTCAAGTCGTTGGTTCATGAATCCAACAGCACCAATTACCTACGTATTCTGAGAATTGTCAAAAAGATATGCAATGCCATAACATGAATAATGCAAATCTGGTTATACTTTATGAAAATAAATTAGCACCTGCATTGAATTGAGATTTTCCCAAGGGATCTTCTCGGTTGCAAGCTCCCATAATATCACTCCAAAACTATATATGTCCGACCTGTATATTCCAATCACAATCAAAGTCATTTGCCTTTGAGTCTCATAATTCAGAATACAGAGAAGCGCTACCCACAATGGAAACAACATACTTCTCATCTGAGGGCTCATTGCGAAGAACTTCAGGTGCCATCCATTGAGGCTACAGCAACGAAAATGGTATGGGGAATTAATGTTTGCATCACAAACCAGAGATTCTAGAATCGAATGCCCAATGCAAGCAACTAGCAAACAACAAAATGCCAGGATTACCGTGCCCTTTCCCGTCTTCGTAGTTAGATAAGTCTCGTGCTTAAGTCGAGATAAACCAAAATCTCCAACCTGCAGGAGTGATAAAAAAATTGGTATTATGTACATCGATTCAAACAAGTAGATTAGTAGGAAACAACAGCATACCTTTACAGTCCAATTTCTATCAATTAACAGGTTCGACGATTTCAAATCTCGGTGAATAATAGGCGGATTGCAATGATGAAGATAGTTCATGCCACGTGCCTATTAAAAGAACAATATATGCAAACGATGAAATAGCATGAAATGACTAAAGATTCTTAAGAAATTGTTTGTCAATAATTAGATGAATTCATAAAGTTAGCAATATGGAAAGCTTAAAGAACATGGCGAGAAGATATTTTTCAATGCAGAATCACTCATTATGCTAGGAAAGGTTCAAAGCAAAATGTCTGGAGATACTCACAATGTCCAAAGCCATATGAACACGGCGTCTCCAATCTAATTTGCCTGCGTTCCTCTGTAGTAAACGAAACAAACTTCCACTGTTTTTTATCGGTACCAGACATTTCAATCAGCCTATGGAGAATGCTTCGGAAACATAAATCAAAAATGTTAAACCAAGAATGGTAGTGGAGAACGAACCGTGGAAGGAATTCCGTGACTATGCAAAGACGCTGAGGTGAAGTCACAACTCCCATAAAGAGAAGAATATTCGGGTGTCGGAGTTTTTTCATCAGGGATACCTTCATAAAGTGGAAGTTAGCTCTAAGAATAGACATTTTATTGCCCGCAGGCAGACCATGGCAGAGAAGTTGGTTAGATCTAAAGAGAGAAGCTTGCATACCTCCTGTCTGAAGGAGAGAATCACATCATCTGAATACTCTTGTTTGGAGAACACTTTAACGGCAACGTCCTGCAAGAACAGTTCAAATCGACTTTCAAAAATCGATATTACAAAAGTTCCTAATGAATCTGATAGTCCCAGATGACACAACACCACAATTGAAGCAATTGAAAGGATAAGCGAACATACTGATCCATACCACAGCGCATGATAGACAGTTCCACAAGAACCTGCAGAGATGAAGGCAAGTCATGCATTAAAATCTGAATTTCGGACGAATAGTTTTACGAGTTCCTGAATTGTATCCCAAAGGTAAAGCTGAAACAAAATGGTGTATGCATACACAACCCAATCACTCCAAAGACCATCACATACCTTGCCCTATTTGCTCCCCAATAGTAAGGTCTTCCCACAAGATTTCAAAATCCAAGCAGTCTGTTTCCGAGTCGACCTTGTTGACGGCACTACTACTGGTACTTCCACAGCTACTCGCACTGCTTGTGCTGTTAACATTGAACGATGACCAGGATCCCGAGGCCTCGTTATTGGCTGCTCGATGACCGTCGTTTTGCTGCATTTCTGGTCTCCCAGATGAGGAGCAACTCTTATGATTTGCTGGTTCAGCTTCTTGATCATTTTGTAACCAAGGCCAGACAAAACGGGCTGCCCTTGCTTCAGATTCTCCTTCCTGCTCGGTCCCTTTCCACGGCCACGATAAGCCCTTCTTAGCAATCCACTCTTCTGCTTTTGAGGATAGCATCTTCTGAATGGTAGGCTTTCCTTTAACCTCATCGTCATGATTCCTGACCTGTTTGCCAGATAATTTCTCTTCAACCTGGGAAAACTCACCATGCGTCGTGGAATCTCCACGAGGTGTGCTAGCTCCACTTGAATTTGCGTCGTCCCGACGGTCACGAAGAGTTGCATCTGGAAAGCCATGATCAGAGTGATAACCATCTCCGCTTCCACCTTCACGATCCAAGCTGTTTTCTCTGGTTCGAATTTTGGACTTGACTTTGTTGCTTACCTTTGATGCCTGTCTCAGAGTTGCAAACTATCAAGATGCGCACACAACAACAAATCACAGAAAAATGGAACCAAAAGACTAACCAAGTTTGATAACTTTGAAGCAATTGCTACTTGCAGAGGCTGTTGAGGATCAAGACCAAGTTTAGTTGAAACCGTGCTTCTTGATCGGACAATACTTGAATCTGCATCCTGCTGTTTAGAACCTGCTGCTAAAGGAATCTTCAACTCTTGAAATGGCCGTGAGTCGCTCGAAATACAGATGATCCCGACCAAGACACCATCATCGTAGAAGGGAGTGTCGGAGGCAACAACTATAAACTTCTGCCCCATCTTGTTCTTCACAGGGAAGTGACCAGTCCAATGCTTGCCCGCTATAACACGATGAATTACATCATTTGCAAAGGCAAAGTCCTCAGAGTCTACTAGAAGCGCAATGCCATCCTGGCCGAGAGCCTCCGCCGCAGAATATCCATACACGATTTCAGCAGCTCGGTTCCTACATAGATTAATATTATGAAAAATCACTTACCAAAGAAAATTACAAAGAGCGTTGTAAAAAAGCAAGAAAACGAAGCAATATCCAGGAAGCTATCGAATGAATCATCAATCTAATCTAAAAACGGAAAGAATTGTCACGAGAAGATAGTCAACGGAAAGGGGCAGCGCACCAGTAAATTATGCGATAGTTTAGGTCTAAAATATGAACAGACTGTCCCATTGACTGCAAGATATTGAGATACTGTTTGTTGGTGAATTTAACGGCGGCGGGGCCAGAGCCGCCGCTGGTTCCGACTCCGGCGGCGGCATTCGAGGGTTCACAAGTCCTACTCTCCCTCTGAAGTGGAGAAGAATGCCGAAACGAGGAAGAGCCTTTCTTCCACGCCGCCGCGGCGCTGTCTGAACCTCCAGCAGCGCCACCTCTCCTCTGAGCCGCAGCAAATCTAGAGCGCTGAGGCGATATCGATTGAGAACGCTGATGGTGATGATGATGATACTGGATTTGGTGGTCAGAGTTCGAGTCAGCGGAAGTTCCAGAGAGAAGAAATTTGGACATTTCCTTCTTGAGATGGGCTTGACCCTCCTCCAGCTCTTGGATCTTCCTCAGAAGCTCCTCTGCTGGTGGAGTTCCCATAAAAACCAACAACAACGGATCAATACAACAACAACACTCCCACCGCGTATTCTTGGAGATCAAAACGAAAACAACAGCAACAAAAAGCAATGTTCAAAGAAACAAAACACAGAAACTAGAACGAATAATGCTCCCTATTGCAGTTGCAAAGCCCTGCACCAGATTCAAACTACTCCTTCCCCTTCAGTCTACCTTTGATCTTTCAAATCTCTTCCTTGTTCAAAAATGAGCATGAACAAGCACAAGCCGAAATTGATAGCACAAAGATAAAGAGATTTCAGTCTGTACCGAGACAAAAAAAAAAAAAAAAAAAAAAAAAAAAAAAAAAAAAAAAAAAAAAAAAAAAAAAAAAAAAAAAAA